GGAGGCAGAGCCCAGAGCCCCCCAGGTGTCAGCTGCAGGGGTGAGGCACTCGCTGGGCAGGTTTGGTGCTCGGCAACGCTGTTGTGGATAGATGTGCTCAGCCCACAGGTGAAGGAGGAGGGACTCCAGGAACCTTGCCCCAAACACACCAGGGGCCGGGATGCCCAGATCTCATGGCAGCCCCAGCAGCTGCTCCTTGCCCCTCCAATTCATCCCCTGCAATGCCCTTAGCCTCTCCCTGCCCGGTGTGCCCTGGCTCAGCCAGGAGGGCCTGGGGTATACACAGACCAGGGGTGCACTTGCAGCAACCTGGTCACTCCCTCACCTCCATCCCCGATGCAGTGGGGGCACCGTCCCACTCAGCCCCATTTCCCCAGCCAGGGCACAGTTCCCCTCTCCAGGGTCTCTCCCACTGCAAGACGAGGAGGTGCCCAGTGCCACGACATCTTCCTCTACCGCCCTGGCATGCCAGGCCAATGGGGATATTTTGGATGCCAGGTCCGAGATGTGGCCAGAGCGTCAATGGGGATATTTCGGATGCCAGGTCCGAGATGTGGCCAGAGCCATGGTGAGGAGGTGGCCGTGGGTGCATGGGTTGCAACTCCCTATCTGTACTGAGATACATCCATTAAACAGCTGTGTCCAACCAGCCTCCTGAGGGTGCGCTTTCAGGGCTTCTGGCTTCTCCTCAGGCACTTCTGGGGATCCACAGTGGCCTGTTGTCTTTAAAATCCTATCCCAGCCTTAGGTCATTGTCCCACCAGGCAGGCTTGGCCTCCCATCCCCAGAGTGTCCCACAGCAGCAGTGGGGGGAAGCCAGCAGGTGCACCCAGGACCCTGCAAACTCGAGGTGCCCCATGTGTCCCCAGGAAAGCAGACAGTAGGGAGAGTGCTTGGCTGACCCTACAACAACCCCAGTCCCTGCAGTGGAAGGGACAATCATCCACCGGGATGAGGGTGCTTCCTGCCTTCAGAGGCACTGGAGGCTGTGAACTGAGCACTGGGGACTGTTGGATGCTGGGAACAGGCTGTCTGCAGCAGTGCTGGGAAACCCGAAATAACCCCACAAAGACACCAAGAAGGAGAGTGGTCCCCATGGCTGGAGTGCTCCAGTCCTAGTCACATCCACGGAGCTCCCACAGGAAGCTGCAGCTTTTGATGGTGGCACAAATGGTCTGTGGGAATCGGCAAAGGAGGCTCACCTGCCTGGGGGGACTTTTCTTTCACAGTGCGTGCACTGCAGCTGGGAGGGGAATGGGTTTGCGAAGAGAGTTTGGGAGAGAATTAGGAGGTATTAGAGAGAATTAGGAGAATTAGATGCTGCCCTGGCAACATCTGTGCTGTCTGCAGGGGCACAGAGCTTGGTGCTAAAAGCTGGAGTCGGACATTCAGCCCACCCCCGAGGCCACAGTGGGCTGCCATGGCATCTAGACCACAGGAGCAGTGTGCAGCTCATCCCCAGAGAAAATCCAGCAAGTATTTCCGGCTCTGGGAGCCAGAGCAGCTGTAAAAGCACCTGGGAGAGGCACCCGTCACCTTGAGGAAGAGGATGGGCATCTGAGGGAAGGGGGAGCTCACGGTGTTTTTTGCGCCTGATGGTGGGATATCATGGGTGCGTGCTCTGCCCATGAAGGGAAGCCGCGGGAAGCCACAGGAAGCCCTCACATGGCGAGATGGTGTTGATCACTGTGTTATTGCTCCATCTGCTGGAGATGAAGAGAAAGCTGGGGCAGAGCACAGGAGTGGGGACGCTGGGAGTGAGACATCCACTGCCACCACCCCAAACCGACATCCTGAGCCCTCAGGATCCAGACCGGGAGAGCAAATCCTCCTGGGCCCTAATCCAGCCCCACTCCGCTCTCAGTTCTTCCCTTGGAAAACAAGGTACAGGTGGTTGTCCCATCTCCAGCCCACCTGCCACCCCCTGCAGCACTCTGGCATCCCTGCCAGGGCACACAGCCAGCTGGTGTTTCCGGAGAGCTGGTTAAAACAAGGGCCACACGTGGCCAGGGGGACCTATGTCCCGCAGGGCTGTGCTGTCACTGCTGTGGCACTGTCATCCCAGCTCACATCCTCTGCCACAGCAGCAGGTGCCCAGTGAGCGACCTCCACGGAGCAGAGTGTGCCTCAGCCATGTCCCACACAGGCACCATCGAGGTCTGGGCAGAAGCAGGAGGACGTGGTGGAGGAGTGGGCAAGGTGGTGCTGTGGCTCCTCTTAGCTGTCACTTGCTCCTTCAGGAGCTGCTGTCCGCAGAGACACTGTCCCCAGAAAGCCTCTGTGGCCTGCAGACCGCCATCCCTGATGCTGGGGCAAACCCCTCCCTAAATGCTGAGGGATACCTCCTCTGCGCATGGTGCAAACCTCCCAAACACCTGAAAGCTGGCACTAAGCTCTCTCTGAATACTTCTCACTACACGCTGGTGCAAACCTGTCCCTGAATCCCCTTGAATGTTTATGCAAACCTCCAAACAAGTGCTGGTGACAACTTTCCCTGAACAGTGGTGCAAATCTCCCCACTGAGATCCCAGAGGCCGGAGACCAAAGGATCAGGATGCTCATGTGGGATTTAAGGCTGGGGCAAGAACCAGCTCTCCAGCCCAACCCTCCCAAGCCCTGCTGTACTGACGGTGCCTGTGCAGCCCACGGGTCTGTTGTCCCATGTCCATCACCCACCACCAGGTGCCATACAGTGGGTGCTGTGTTACCCAGTGGGGGTTCTCAGCCCCAGGGCTCCAGTCCAGCATCATCCAGTCTGGGGGCAGGGGCAGAGTCCTGGGTCCTGGGGGGCAGCTCTGGCTCATGTATGTGTTTCACAGCAGGCAGCAATCAGAGCATCATCTACGCTTCTCCCAGATGGTCCTGCCCTCTGCAAGAGGACTGGAGCACCTCGGCCTGCCCAGATCAGAATGTCTTTGCCATCCCACAGGAACCCCAGGGGATGGGGAGTAATAGTGCCCTACTGCTAGAGTTTCCCCCTCTGCCAGGCTGCAGGACCACTTCACACGGCTGCCACCCACTCCAAAAACCTCTGCTGGTGGGGAATATGGGTGCTTGGCTTTGCATCCCAGGGATCAGGATAGCACCCTCCTCTGAGGCTGGACACCTCTGCCTGTCCCCGGGGCTCCCCTGGGTTTGGCCAAGTGCCATCAGGTCTGGTGTGTCCCAGAGGGAAAGTGACCACGATGTGCCCCACACCAAAGCCAGCCAAACTTCAGGAACGTGTGTGCAAAGCTGTGCTGACACAGGAGGGACAGAGGTGACCAGGGGGACCCACTGGGCTAAGACAGTGTCACCATGAGCCATGGCACCTGGCTATCACTGGGGCAAGATGTCAGAGCCCCATCCCATCACTGCCACAGGACTGTCAGAGACCAATGGCAGGAAAAGAGGGTTCTCTGGGCAGCTTGTGACAGTGACAGCAACAGCCACAGCCCCCGGAGGCAGTGACACCCTGGAGGCCCCAACTATCCTTCCCCTCCCGGGCCAGAGCAGGACTGACCATCCAGAGCAGGGACAAGTGTTCCCATTTAGCAACATCCCCCCACATGTGAGCAGGGAGAGGAGATGGGAAAGCTGAGGAGGTTTTGGGGCGCAGAACTGGGATGACAAGATTGGGCCACTAAGAAGAGACCCTCACCCCACCCCGAGCCAGGGTCCGTAGGGGCACTAGAGACCTCTGGGGAGACTTCAGGGAGGACTGGGGGGTGAAGGGGCTGGGAGAGGGTGGTGCAAGGGGCCACCAAGTAAGAAGTGTGTGTGCCCCCTGCAACAGAGAGGTGGCCACGGGGTGTCGCCCCTGCACCGCGCCGGGAGCCGGCGGTGCCACTTCGGGACCTGCACAGAACATGCAGGGAGGGAGGATGCAGGAAGGGAGGATGCAGGGACTCATCTCTCTACCCAGAAATCATTTTGTAGGCTGGCTTGTGACGCCCTTCCTCTCCTGCCCAAGCTCTGATTCCAACCTCTGCCCTATAGC